AGGACATTAGCAGGAAGCGCAGTGGAAAAAACTGGACTCTGGTAGACATTGCTTTAGGGCTATTATACAAAAGGTTTTCTCTGTATCCCTTGAATGTTCCTTATCAGACAGCCGGGATCTTTGGAGAGTAGTGGGTCCACTGTCGTCTTCAGAAATATGAACAAGGTGGCTCATGGTTTGTACATGAGCCATGCATGTACATAGTTAACATGTATGTTAAAATGCATGTATTTAGTTAACAAAAGCTGCAAACATGCTTTCCTAAGTAATCCTTGGGTTACATCAGTGCCTTTCTGAAGGAAAGGAAGCCATCCTGTCGGAGAACTGTGCTTACAAGCACGAGGGAGTGAGTGGGGTTTGTGTTCTGTGAAGCAGTAGATAGGAGAGGGGGAGAAGCCAGAGGTCTGCGTGGAAGACCAGGGGCTGTGGGAGACAGTAGAGAGTTCTGACTAGACCCTGGAGCAGAGTCAGAAGTGTCGGAACACATATTTTTCCTCCTGAGTTGATCATCTTCTTACATTGCTGAGATTTCTACAGTCTGTTTCCATGCTAGACAGACATCCTGCGGTGACAGACAGTTCTGACCTGTGCTGTCCAGTATGGAAGCCACTAGCCATGGCTGTTATTTGCTCTTAAATTTTTGTTCATTGTATTTCATTGTAACTAAATGAAGTAGCCCGATGTGGCTGCTAGCTATATATGGAACAAGGAAGACCTGCTTGGCGCCACATGTCCCCGATGTCACACTCTGTTCAGAGCTTTCTCTCACCTTGGATATAAGTACTTGATTTGTTGAATTCAATTGACAGTAGGGAGAAGGGACAGTTGGAAGCTCCTGGAACTCAGTGGTGGCCTGGCGGGTCCTTTGGGCTCTGATGGTGGTACTCTTATTGTAATTTTGTCACGTGTTCAGTCTCACTCCTTCCGGGTATTTAAACTGTATAATCACTAATTTAAACTTTTAAAATATACACAGGTACAGTGTGTGTGTGTGTGTGTGTGTGTGTGTGTGTGTGTGTGTGTGTGTGTGTGTGTTTAACAACAGCTATACTTCCAGTGTTTCAGATCCTTAGTGTCTTGTATAAAGATTTTTTTTGGGGGGGGAGGGGTTCAAATGTTTAGGCTCTAGAATGGCCCTGAACCTAAAAAGTAGCAGGGGAAAAAAAAGAAGAAGGAAAAGAATCATGTCTCAAGGGAAGCTTCTTTACTTAACCCCTGAGCCTAATCAAAAGTGGCCATAGATGAAAACTACAATGTCCAATGTATGTAGGGAGTATGGGGTTGTGTGTACTTTTCTAGAGACCAGAAGTCAACTTCAGGCATCTTCCACTGTGCTTTCCACCTTTTGAGACAGGATGTCTCACTGAACCTAACTCGCTGATTGTCTAGAGTGGCCAGCCAGCCCAGGCTATCTACCTGTTTTCATGTCCCTTTTCCTTCCCCTTACTTAGTCCATGGGTGACAGATGTGCACTACCAAAGCCAGCTGTTACGTGGGTTCTGGAGATCAGCACTCAGGTCCTCATGCTGACACAACAGTGAGCCATCTCCCCAGCCTTGTCCTGCCATTTTCTTGTGCCTTAAAATGGACGGCAAAGGTGACCTGATGAACTGTCAGGACCACAAGAAGGGGTTTGGGGAAAGGAAAAGAGCAAACGTGAGGAGCAGGAAATGGTTGTCTGGAGATGACAGACAAGTGCTGGTGGAGAAAAGGCAAGTCAGAAACAACCTGTGGATGGTGATTTTTAACGTTAACTCTGTTACCTTCCTGCTTCTGAGAACAGCTATTTCAGCAAGGAGCAGAAAGAAGTTTTGAGTAATCAGCTTACCGTCTTCCTCTCCTGCCGTCATCCCATCTCAGTGCTGTTTCAGAATTCTCTTGAGGGAGATTAGCATATTTCATAAAAAGTTATCTTGTTTATTTGACTAATAACCAGGGACTAAGGCTTAAAAATCTATTAAGTATAAAAACAGAAGATTGTGGGAGGGGGAGATAGCTCAGTGGTTAAGAGCGTTTGCCTGCTCTTCCAGAGGACCCACATTCAATTTCTAGCACCTACATAGTGGCAGTCTCAGGGAATCCAATGCTCTATTCTGATTTCCTCAGCACCAGGCATATCCATGGTACACAGGCATATATATTCAGGCAAAATACCCACGCACGTAAGATAGAATTTTTAAAAATAAAAAAATTCAATCTGTCACAAAATTTGAAATCTCATAGAAGTATCAAATGATCACTGTACTGTATGTAAATTTTATATTTTAAAAGGCCACTGTGAACAGCAGTTCATGGTATTCCTAAAGCTCATATTAGGATTGACCTGGGATGTTTGGAGAACATTGAAGACAAACTGCAGTCTTGAGAGGAATGAGTTCAGTTTTTGACAAGGGATAGAATTGGTTAAATCGATGGATATATGCATCTGGACCTCAGAGAAAAGACCCAGACACAGAGTGTAGGGTTGTGAATTGTAAATAGTTCATTGGAATTGTTGGCTGAGGAAGGTCATGTAGGGACAGGGTGAGAAAAGAAGGAAGTCTAGGGCTGGGGATCAAGTTCATCAGTGAGTACTTACCCAATACGCCTGGAGTGCTAAGTTTTAGTGTCAGTACTGCAAAGAAGACAAAGGTTTAGGACTAAGCTTTGGCGAATGTTAGTATGTATGTATGTGTGTGTATGTATGTATGTATGTATGTATGTATGCATGCATGCATGTATGTATTTACTTACTTATTTTACAGCCCAGCCACAGTTTCCCCTCCCTCCTCTCCTCCCAGTTCCTCCCCCAACCCCTGTCTGTTCCAAACCCCCAATGCACTCCTCCTCCATTTCTATTTAGGAGAGGGCAGGTCTCTCATGATATCAATAAAACATGGCATAGCAAGTTACAGTAAGACTAAGCCCCTCCCCATGATTTAAGGCTGGGCAAGGTGACCCAGTATCAGGAGTAGGGTCCCAAAAGCCTATAAAAGAATGTAAAAGACAGCCCCTGTTCCTATTGTTAGGAGTCCCATAAGAGGACCAACCTACACAACTGTCACATGTATACAGAGTGCCTAGATCAGTCCCATGCTGGCTCCCTGGTTGTCTGTTCTGTCTCTGCGAGCCCCTATGAGCCCAGGCTAGTGGATTCTGTGTTTTCTTGTGGTGTATTTGACCCCTCAGGCTCCTACACTCCTTCCTCCCCATCTTCTGCAGGATTCCCCGAACTCTGCCTACTGTTTGGCTGTGGGTCTGCATCATTCATCAGTTGGTGGATGAAGCCTCTCTGATGACAATTAGGTTAGGCACCAATCTGGTCACAGGAGATGGCCAGTTCGGGGTATGTATCCACTATTGCTAGGAGCCTTAGCTGGGGTCATCCTTGTGGATTCCTGGGAGATTCCCTTGTGCCAGGTTTTTAACCTGTCTCCAAAATGCCCCCCTTTCTAGTAGTCTTTTTTAGTACTCTCCCCTTCCACCACCACCACCCCTCCAACCTGATGGCTCATGTTCCCATCCCCACCTGCCCTCAGTTCACTCAGGAAATCTCTTCTATTTCCCCTTCCCAGGGAGATCCATGCATCTGCCCATGAACCCTCCTTATTACCTAGTCTCTCTGGGTCTGTGAATTGTGTATGGTTATCCTTTATTTTACAGCTAATATCTGCTCGTGAGGGAGTACATACCGTGAATGTTAGTATTTAATAAAGAGGAAGAATAAGTAGCATGTAAAAAGAAGAGACAGAGACCACGTAGGTAGGAGAAAAAACTAAGAGAATGCAGTGCTAGGTGTTTCAAACAGACGGAATGTCTGGAGTAACAAATGAAGCCCATTTATCCCTTATCATGGAGTACAGGGAAGGCTCTTCATGTTCTGGCTGCTTGCCACCTCCTTGACCTCACCCCTTCCCCGTCACCCTGCACCGCCCTGCTCCTGCTTTTAGTGCGTGTCAGGCTCTTTGCTGTCGCACAACCCAAGTGCCCCGTGCTCCCTTTGCTGGATGTCCTTTTTAATCGGGCACTGAAGCCCTTGAGACTGGAGTTGCCAGGGGTTTGTTGTATTTCATCATGTGATTAAAATTAAAGTTTGCTTGGGCCTCAATTTCTGTTCCAAGTAAAACATTAAAGATGAGTTAAAGAAAATGAATCTTTTCCTGACATTTATTTATTGTGTTTGTGTCTGTATGTATACACACGCACGAGTGGAAGTTAGAGGATAGGTTATGTTGGTTCTCTTCTGCCATGTGGGTCCTGGGAATTTAAGTCAGGCTTGTTCCTGCACCCACAAAACCATCTCACTTGCCTGTAAAACTTTGAATATATGTCAGTGATAGCACAGAAGAACTTTGGCTTCCAGAAAGCAGTCTTTCCCTAAAGCACCTGGCATATTAAAATGATAACGCTACATTTTACACTTTCTACAAATGCAAGATAGAATAATGGGAGAAAGCTGAAAAAGAAGTGTCTGGAATCTGCTCTTGGACATGTGTCAATAATGAATGACAAATGCATTACAGTATTAATAATGCATTGGACAGAAGATAGCAAATAGACTGTCTTTCTGCATTGCTGAACATTGAACTTGGGTCCTTGTGCATTCTTTTTAAACTTTTTATTTTAGGCTCAGTAAGTTGTCCCAGCTACCCTTAAACTTGCTCTGTAGCTCAGGCAGGCCTTGATTTTGTACTTTCTTGCCTTAACTTCCCACACTTGCTGGGGTGACAGGCAAGCGTTAGGCAGCTGACAGTCCCTTTCTCCCATCCAACCACTAACCAGATGGGGTGAGATCAGGCGCTTTCTGAGTGGTAGAGAAAACACTTAACAGTGCCTGTACAGTAGAGGGTAACAGGAGGCTGGGGGATTACCAGGGGTGCTGACTGATGTCATGCTGATTAAGTTCTCTAGCTAAAGAACAGAAAATCCTGTATTCTAACTATGAAGCTTAGTTCTTCAGAAAGAATAAATGGTCATATTCAGTGACCATTTTATGTTAACCTCCTTAACAACCTGGGGCTTCAGAAAACTCCATGAGAGAAAAAGTGACCCCTGTAGAGCCTTCTCTATAATTTCACTTTTTTTTCCCAAAAAGCCAGTTTTTGTAGCTATCTTGATTGATGTGTATTGAACGTACTTTTGTTATCTTAAACACCTACTCTAAGCTCAAGATTTTCCTTATATAGCTCTCATCTCTCCATAAGGCAACACAAAATGTTTTTTATTGCTGACTATTTTCTGCTGGGCTCTTCACAGCAGTCCCGACCTTACCTGGTTTGGGGTCTTATTTTAGAAATGGCCTTGTTCTCTGGTTTTATTTTAAATGGTGGTTGGTTTAAGCTGTACTACACTTGATCTAACCAAAAGGCCAAAAATCAGTTTTTAAGCCTTGTTGCAAAAGCCATCATGACTGTGGAAGACTGAAAAAGAAAAAAAAATGGAATAAATTAAAATGAATGCTTACATGCAGATCCAGAAACAAAATTATTGCAAAATATACTCCAGATCCATACCAAGCCTCCCCACCTGTAAGAGTTTGAAGACCAGAAAGGCTGACTCACTTGCTACAATTATAAACTGGTAATGAGAATATGTTATTTTTGTTGTTTTCATGAAAGACAAACATATCAGTTCTGGTTCTAACATACATGTTGTTCATAAAGGCAGTACGACCACCACTACCTCATTATCTTTAACAAGGGAGAATGTACTATAAATTTTTCTTTCTAATTTTTCTGAGCTTATAAATATTTACTTAGTAGCACAGTTTTATTGTCATCGTTGGCTGTAGTATAACAGTGTTTCTGGACTTGAGTCTAGCCTTGACTCTGAGACTTGTGGGAAAGCTTCTTAACCACTATGAACTTCAATTTCTTGTTCTGGAAAACAAGCAGTAATACATATAAATGTACATATATATACATATAAATAAGCAATAATACATATACATGTACATATATACATATAAATAAGCAATAATACATATACATGTACATATA